GAAGATTGGGATGAAGCTCTACAGAAAACATAAAATAACTCTGCTCCAAACCTGTCAAGCATCATGTACCCAGTTCTCAAAAACATTAGAGCAAAAACGAAAGAAGCTTGTACAAGACTCTTTTCAAAGTGTATAAAAACTGGGAAGATTCTGCTAAAATGGAAAATTGGAGTTTTATATCTGATTCCTAAAAAAGAAGACTGGAACTATGAATTAAACAATATATGTTCTATTATTCTATTAGAGAATGTTTGGAAAGTTCTAAGTAGAGTAATAATGAAAAGGCTAGAACAAGTATTTAAAAAGCATAGCATACTCAAAGGTTCAAACTACGCGGGTCTTATAATTGAAAGTATAGAAGACTCTATACACATTCTAAGCTATATTGCAGAAAAAACACAGAAAAAAAAACAAAAGCTGTAAATCCTATTACAGGATATACAAAAAATATTTGACTCTATAAGCATAATATTGCTGGAGTTAGCCCTTAAAAAAATTAAGATGCCAACAAACGCATAGAATTATATTATTAGCCTGTATAAATATAAAGAATTAGAAGTAATAATGGCATATAGGAGCATTAGAGTAATTAAAGCAAAAGACAGGATAAACCAAGGGGAGGTGCTGTCTTCTTTAATATGGCAAATTTTTTATAATCTGCTTTTGTATAAAGTATAAAGAATTAAAAACTGGGGATATGAAGTAGCAGTATCATGGTCTACAGACCTAAGAAAAGGAGAGATCACTTGGATAAAACAGAAACAAGCTTATGCTAATAACACATGTGAATTGCAAAGTTCAAAGCAAAGTTGTCAAAAATCTTAAAGAAGAGAATTTTATAAATTAAACAACATTAATATAAATGAAAAGAAATCAGAGCTTATTGTAATTAATAGGGCCATAAGCCAAGAAGACAAAGACTGCAGTATTTCTAGCAAAAGTGAAGTAGAAATAAAAACAAAAAAAAAAGATAAAGCAGCCAGATTCCTAGATATGTGGATCTTAGAGAGAAATAAAAGAAATTGTGAAATGGGTCTAGTAAAAAGAGAGGTCGCGGGTTAGTAAGAATTTTAAAAAAGAAAAAGATATTATTAGGGTATCTGCAATGTATAAACAATAGGGTTCTATTACCAAGATTAAAATACTGACTAAAATGCCAAGTGATAAGCAAGCAAGCCTGTAATAGAATTCATAGGCTCTTTCTTAACTTGCTCAAATGAAAAGCAGGTTTAGCAAGTACTATACCAAATAGCATTATTATGCACCTAAATTTAGTAGAAGCTAAAGGCTTGTAGTAAGCAAAGTTGGCATAACAAGTTTCTAGTTTAGTTAAGAAACTAAATAGTATAGAGTTAGTAGGGAATATAACCTGGATTAGACTAAAGCAAGCACAGGTTGATAATAGAAGTAGCAGGTGCATAATTGAGTGGTCTGCTTAACAGCTAAATAAAACAGATATAAAGCACAATTTTAATGCAAATATAGTTAAAGAAGCTACAAAACTAGGCACAGAACTGGAATACAATGAAGTGGCAAAGAGTATACATTTAGATAAAAGAACAGAGATTTGGTCGGTGTTAAGCAAGTTCAAAAGAAACTGGTATATAAAAAGCAAATTGAACAATATTATATTTATAGAACAATTGCTTAAAAAAAAGAGATTGATGTTTTTAACTTGGCACCAAGTAAAATTTTTAAAAAAAAACAAGAATAAAGAAAAGAAGCCCTTATAGTTTAATAGTATCAAGAATGTAGTGATCAATAACTAGACAACAAGAGAGGTGTATACAAGATATAGATATGGAAAAGAAAGTTAAGTAGCCCTATTGCCCTTATTTCAACATGTTTTTGAAAATAAAAGAAAAGCAAAATAAGTTATACTGGTGAATGAAAAGAGTACAACAGATTTGGGCCAGGTGGTTAAAAAAAGTAAAAGTAATCGAAAGATAGAAGTAACACATTGGAAAAAAGAGACAGAAAATATAAACATTTACAACAAATATCAAGACTATAGTTTATCTAATATGCAGAAGCCTAATGAATGCAAGATAGATTTGAATCTAAAGAATAAGCAAAGAGTGTTAAAGAAAAACTGTATTAAAAAGCAAGGAGAAAACAAAATCCTGTGCAAGATACCGCTAGCAATTTTAGCAAAAGAACTAATGTACAAACAGATATATCTATCTTATTACTAAGCCCTACAGTAATGATCAAAAACTTAAAAAAAGATCTAATTAACAAATATATAGTAGAGCAGATATATAGAGAGAAAACCCAAAAGTTATTGCAAAAACTGGTTAGCTATACAGAATTAGATATTTTTATAGATAGCTCTTTAGATAGGGATAGTAGAAGCAAAGAGCTGAGAAAAATGGGTATAGGCTGGATTGTAGCCAAAAAGAACACAGAAGCAGTACTAGAGTATTTCTCAGATGCAATAAAAGATTGGTCTTCTTCAATGAGAGCAGAAATAGATGCTATAGAACTTGCATTATTAGTAGTATCAAACAAATGCAGAGTACGGATTTTCACAGATAGTGCAAATACAATCAGTATTATTGAAAAGGTTAGAACTAGCCTAAATGACACAAAAACCACTAAGCTCAAAAATGGGAGTATCGTCGCAATGGTGATAAATTTAGTGGAGATTAAAGGTATTGATTGATATTAGCTTCGTAAAGGTGAAAGGTCATAGTGAGGTTAAATTAAATGAAGCAACTAATAAGCTAGCGAAAGAGAGAAATAGCTCTAAAGAGTATTGTAGTTTTAGAGTAGAATGGTTCAAAATAATAAAGGTATTACCGAGGTGGAATGGTCATATTGTTGATATACCTATTAGAGAAATGATAGATAGTATAATGAAAATATATTATAGTATAGGTTGGATAAATAGCAAATATATAGATAGTTTAATTAGAAGTAGTACAGAAGAAAAATAGTTAAATTGGAGAGAAATATGAGGAATGCAAAAAAAAGAGGTGAGATATAGATGCAGAAGCTTGAAGGATAGTCACAGTTGGGTTTTTAAAATAAAGTATATAAACGGGTTACTGCCAACAATGAAGATGCTTCATAGAAGAAATCTAAACCTCTATTTGCTTTTGGGAAAAAGAAGATATAGATCACTTAGCCATATATAAAATATATGAGAAATTATGAAGCAGAATAGAGAGTGAAGCATTTGAAAACACTAAAAAAAAAAAGTTAAAAAAAAAACAGAAAGAAAGCAAAGAAAAAATACATAGCATTACAAAAGAAGAAATAATAGGAGATACCCAAGAGACTAAATATAAAAACAGAGTTAACTATATTAGAGAAATCTTCTGAGACTTAGAAATGAGAATAGACTGCTAAGGAAGCTCTATATATTTTACAACCACAAGCTATGAAAATGCTTTCAAGAAGTGATCTGGCAACTAAAATATAAAGCTATAAATGAATAAAAGCAAGGCAAAGACATTATAAACTCACAAAAAAGAAAGCAGAATGAAAGAAGTAATCCAATATACAAGAAAACCAAAAAGAGAAAAACTCAAGAAACAAGAGTTGAAAGAATTTTAGCAGAAGAAGCAGATTGAAAATTGTGAAAGAAGACAAAGAAAGAAGTTAGGAAGGTAATTTTAACTAACATCAAACCGAAGTGGTTGGGGCTTTATAAACTATACAGTTACAAAACTTAAATGCAGACCTGACAAGGCTAGCAACTACTGTCCAAGAATCTAATAGATAATCTTTTAGCAAGTTGAAAGCCAGAAGGAAAGAAAAGAGTTGCTATGGTAGATCACATCTAAGCACCTCTGAGCAGCCGGGTGAGCTTTTATTGAAGAGAAGGAAGGGTTGTTGGCATTAGCTAGAAACTTATGTATTAAGATTATGCATTCCTTATACAATAAAGGCAGGATTGCCAAAAAAAAAAAAATTAATTTAAAAAAAACCCAAAATTTTAATAAATTAACAAATTACAAATTTTAACTTTAAAATTTGGATTTTGTTGTACAGTACATGATGCCTTATACAGTATATACAGTATATTGAGTGTATTTCAAAATTTTACCTGTTGTATAACTAATAATAAATGCTTTTTTCACAATTTTATTCTAATTCTAACTTAACCCTAATATTATACTTACAATATTCAACTGTTATTAAAACATAAAACAATACTAAATACAAACATGAGAATACCATACATTTTTTTAAAAATTAATTATTGCAATTTTTTAATTATATTTAAGATTTTTACTCAACTTAGTTTAGAAAAAAAAAAGTGATATAATGAATTAATTTAAAAATCACCGGGGGGTAAAATTCACCGGCCTAAGAGTTGTTAGGGTTAGGTTAGGGTTAGGGTATTAAGAATTTTTTTTTTATATAAAATAACATAGAGCTAATAAAAGGTCCCGATCTCAGTTCTCGTGAGGTTTTCAGGGGTTCTGAACATTTTTACTTAGAGTACCCGATCCCGTTTACTTAGTACGTTTTTGAGATACAGCACCCCCGGTGAGCGTTAAAATCGTCCTGATATAATATATTATTATAACTAGTATATATACTGTGTCTATATTTATAAAGAATTCTAATTTGGCTAAATATTATCTCTGATATAGCTGTAATAGCTACCCATTTTTATATAAGTAAAAAAAAAATTATGCTTGAAAACGTTGATTGTGGTGATACAAATCGAAAATCGAATAGTTGATCTAGTTGACAACTAATCGATTGAAAATTTTTGAAAAAACAACTAATCGATTGAAAAATTTTTGCAAACTTATAATTAAAATCGATTAAAAATCGAACAATCGTTTAGTTGGCAACTTATCGATTAAAATTTTGAACCAACCAACTAATCGATTTGTATCGCTAGTTGATTGTTTCGCTGATACAGTTCCATATACTTTTTGAGATACATCCAACCTTCCGGTGCGTTTTGTCCTCCATGCTAAATAACATGGTTATAATACTCGGTTACCATCTGAGACAAAGCTTGAGGCAACATCGAATCACCATCTTTTCTCTGTTGATGCGGTTAACTGTTGCTCATCACCCGAAAATCTTTGTCTCTTTGGTATTGCACCAACCATTTGATGCCGTCCAGTGAATCAATTGGTAAATTGTGCAGTAGATGCCAGGGTTGATAAAACCGGTGCTGGGACTGGATAATTACCATTTTGTGTTCTTGTTACCATTGAATTTGACAGAGACATTTGTTTTCCTATAACTCCCATGCTCACACCACCTGGGTCGAGTTTTACAGTTCCTTAACACCGTTAGCTGGATTCTTACCAGCAGCAACAGTACCCACATTTCGATTACGTTTTTTAATAGTATTTATTTTACGACTTAAAGGTCTTACGATACCATTAAGTTTAAGGAACAGCCCACAAGCATTGCACAATGGTTGACCTTCAGGATTACGACGCCATAAAGGTGTTGTTTGCGTATGACAGTCGGTATAAGTGGTTATATAATCAACTTTACAACTAGTCTATTAAATTAAATCCAATCATTTTCTCTTCATCTTAGTCGAAATCTGTTAATATTAAGGTTGGTATTTATTGTATACGTTGTTGTTGTTGCTGAGGTGTTGATATAACTGATATAACATATCCAGAGGTTGCGTACCTAAATAGGTAATCATAATTCGATTTTATATATAGTTTTTATAACGATATCTTAACACTAAATTAAGCTAAAACCAACGTGGGTTGGAACCTTGCGCAGCCTGATTAATAATTGGAGTTTTTGTTTGAGGACCAGTTTCCGAGTGCGGTACATGCCTTAATCTAGTAAGAGAACTTGAAGTTCATTTTCATCTCTATATCTTAATAGATCAATTCCATGTCGAACTTCAGGTTCTATTCCTTCAACATTCATTAATACTTCACGTTTCTTTGAATCCCTAACAGCATCGTTAATGATGCTTTCCAACCTACTATTTCGACTTCTTATAATTTCTTCCCCGGAAGGTCGGCCACGTTTTTTTCCAGGTTTCCCGGGTTGACACTCACGGTCCAACTTTAAGCAATAGGTGCAAGGGGTTCCGCCCGAACACTTTATTCTTCGACGTTGACAATTTTGGCAAGCAGTTGTGACATTACGACGAAGATTAATCATATCTGCGGTCGATGGTTGCTGTAGCATTGCGGCAGTGGCGGCCGGATTAACCTGTCTGTGTTGCAATTGTTGTAACTGTAGTAATGTCGATGTCGGTATCATTTGTGTAGTTTGGATTGGCTGCTGCTGTTGCTGGCGCATTAGTAATTGTTGTTGAATTCTTTGCAATTGTTGTAGCGTCTGGGCATTTTGGATAGGTAGTTGTGTTTGTTGTGGCTGAGAAGAAACAGTCACGCTTGTTGGCAATGATGAATCTAAGAAAAGTAACCCAATAAGTCTTAACCCTGTTGTATTCATCCCTGTTTCTGTCGTAAAAAGAACTATTCCTCCGTTTGGATTAGGCGCATTAGAGAAACGTACGAAACCAGCCTATGTGTTATGAAAAAATTTCGTCTCGTTATTCATAAATTTAAAATTATATTCAATGTCAAACGATGGTGCGTACCAATTTTGTACTTTCCAATATGCGCAATAATCCCATAAATGTGTCGTGATTGTCTTGAGATGCTTGAGGGTTTAAAGTTGGAAAAAATAAAACAACACGTTGAGGTTCGTGATTTTGTAAAGCTGCGTCCCTCAGAAAGTTTTTCGCAAGATTTATGCCGGAAATTTCCATATTATCAGGCCAAACCTGTATCATGCTAATAAATTTGTTTATTAGACAGATTATAAACGGATGTTAGTCATAATCGATAAAAAAGAATCATTAATAGAAATATCTTACTAATCATTCACAGAAAAAGGGCCAGTTTTCCAGGGGAAAGCAGTCACATGACAAATAAGCTCGCGGTTTAATCCGGTCTGGGCCGACCATACAATATGACCACTCCATAATGCATTCACTTTTTGAGGAATATTGGGGCGAATATTGGATCCCAATGATACAGGAGGTTGCCCCACTGCTGCACCAGTTGTGTTAGTAACTGATATTTGAGTACCGTTGTTACTCGAAGAGGCACTAGTACCAACAGAGCTAGGATTTGTCGGTGCTATAGTTTTAGCGGGAATTTGGACCCCAAGCGCTGAAGCTAAGGATGTTCCGACAGTCGTTGTAGATATCTGTCCACCTTGCGTCGACGTTGGTATATTAAGAGTAGGCGCAGAGAAACTAGTAGCTGCAGTAATATATATGTTTTTAGCTAGTGGTCACACTAACAAGTGTACAAGTAGTCCACATTTTATTTTTATAAGTTACCATTAGTTCCCTTTCGATTAGATGGATTTTTATAGATAATGAATGTCAAATTAGGCAATTGTTCGCCTGATGCTTTGAGCTTGACTCTCTTATTTTCAGGAGATAAGCCGATCGAAGTTGATGACGTTGCCTGGTCGTTATCGTTCATCTCATTTGCTGGTGTTGAGGCTTCACAATTCCTTTTTTTGTTAGATGTCGCTAAATAATTAATTAATCATTAGCATACATTTATGTGTAGGAAAATCGGGTTGAGGGGAAAAATCCGCCAATTCACCTTCCTGGTTTGCAACTTCTGCCATTTTTTGAAATTCGGAATGAACTACTTGAGATTCTTCATGCCACATCCACGTTCTACCGATTTCTTTAGGGACTTTATTTTTAGTGATGCTATATTAATAATGCTTTTTTTCTGATAATTACCTTCAGAAGAGTTGTCCGTATTTGAGCCTTTGTTTGCATTTGAGGGTGAAACTGAATTTCCGGGCAAATGCCTATGCTGTTGATCACTTGGTGGTTCATAACTAATGGTTGTAGGATCATCATCTTTATCATAATCTTCGTCAGAAAGTTCTTCATCAGAAAGTATATCTACGTCATTGGTAATGAATTCAACGGATGTTTCTGATATACTCTTAATATTAGCTAAAACTTCATTTGTTGCCGGACGCATATCCGGATTAAAAGACCAGCATTTTTTATAAAGGTTTACATAATCCATAGGCGTACCATTGATAGGTTTTTCTCTTTCATTGTTTGAAATTGCTACGCTTAGAGCCACAAAATTGTAATTATTGAATGGAGGAATTCCGCTTGTGAGTTCCCAGAGCAATACTCCCAGGCTGTAAATGTCAGATTTTTCTTTGCGTTCAACTTTTATTCCATGTTGAATAAAGCATTGTGGTTCTATGTATGGCATCATGCCAGCCATATTATTACCCACACCTGAAATCGAAGCGGTGGTATTATTAAATCGTCTTGATATGCCAAAGTCCGTGATTAAGGCCTTTCCATCATCAATCAATATATTCTTAGAATGCTATTGTGAATTATAATAATTCTAGATTTAAAATTCAGTTCAGAGATTAGAGCAATTAAAAATAATTAAAACTCACCAGATCCCGATGAACGATACCATTATTGTGCAAATGATTTAATCCCAAAGTAATTCCCATAGCAATTTTGATGAGTTCAGACCATGAAATTTTATAATGGCCTTCTTTTTGTTTTCTTCGTAAATATTCTCGTAGATCACCACCATTAGCATATTGCAATATTAGCATGAAATGGCCCGTTGATGGATCTAGAAATTCATTGAATAATGCCACTATAAAATTTTAATATAAATCAGATTTTCAACTATATTTTAATTATACCTCTAACTTAATAATATTTGGATGACTAATATTATAAAGATGTTTAATCTTCATGCGAATTTATTATAAATAACATTAATATTCAAGATGTTTATCAAATGTCTAAAGCCGAATCTCTAATAGAACATTACCTCATTTCTAATTTGTTTGAACGTTTTATTATCAATAGCTAAATTATTATATAAACTTTTTAATGCAAATTTTTTTTCTTGAAAAATGACCGAGTATACAATTCCAAATCCGACTTGCCCAATTCGTTTTCGGTCACTAAATTTCAAATGATCAAAACTTTTTATATTGAATTTATCGAAGTATGTTTCCAACTTTCTTGAATATTCGATTACTAATAAGATTAACAATATTAATTATAATATACATATTAGGTTGTTTGTTATTGATGGAACAGCTTACATGGTTTTTCTGACATGACTTGGGGCTACTATTTAGATTGTACACTTTATTTGAAACGAAGGCATGACATATTAGCGTTCTATTTTTAGCTATCCTAGAGACCGCATTAACTCCAAATTTTATTGAGCCGCATCCCGATCGTGCACGATCAAAGAAATCTACACGTGACGGTTATCGTAACCGTCATCATGCGCGGATTTCATAACCATTGTCTGTTTCATACGTAAATTATGCGATTTGATTGAGGTAGAGACCGGCCTCGTCTTTAAAATTGGTATATAAAAGATGCACATGTGCAGGAATTTTTTAATGTAAAGAATTTTTTTAAATGTGTAAACAAAATTTTTTTAAAAAAAGTTACACGAAATATATTGTAGATTTGGAATTCTCGATATTGTATAAATCATATATTGTCACAAATCTTCTACGTATTATTTCTTTATTTGCAACTCATTATTAAGATTATCCATTTTTACCCCGTAATGTATTCAAAGAATTGCTTTCCAAATATTTTAGGCAAATAGGCAACATAAAATCTGACATGAAGACTTTTGTTTTTGTATTAAGGTTTTACAAGATTCAGCAAAAAATAGTTATTTGGCGAAAATACATTTGCAATACGTAATATCTTATTATGCAATCCTCTTAACAAGTAAGTAATACGTATTAAATGCAATTGCAAAATGCATGAGACAAAAATCGCTGTAAATGTAAAAAATAAATATACCATAGATGTAAAAGCTTCGTGTCATGGTTTTAAATTTAATTTGCAATATGTTATAATCTTAAAGTGATTTAAATTCCAAAACAACGTACTCGATGAAATAATTTGAATACACATACCTAATTCTTTAACGACTCGGGTACATTTTAGAATCCTATTACAATCTATATTTATTTCTAACGCTAAATCAATAATTCAACGTGATATGATATGGAGTTAAACGTCCCACAAATCAAACAATAGTTACGTACTATATGTTTAATTATTATGAACGGATTTTTTAAAGGTTATTTCACATTCGAATTTACATATGAATTCGCACTGATTTAGGTACACTTTTTTACCTAACATACAAAATCGCATCGCATTTTTTTTTTAAACTATAGTTCTAGACTTGCTCTATACTGTAATAGAACCATTTTTGCAATAACTTTTCATAAAATAAAAATAAAATTTTTTTAAAAGTTATTACAAAACTGGCTCTATTTCGGCACAGAGCTAATCTAGAACTATAGCTTAAAAAAAAATACGATGCGATTTTGTATGTTAGGTAAAAAAGTGTACCTAAATCAGTGCGAATTCATATGTAAATTCGTATGTGAAATTAACCTTTAAAAAATCCGTTCATAATAATTAAACTTATAGTACATAACTATTGTTTGATTTAATGATGTGTCCAATCAACTCCAATGAATTATTTTAATTGGTTGTTTATAGCACATGACACGAACTTTTTTCGCATGGATAGGGTGATCTAATATTGTATAACACAAAAATAAGTTATTTGTCGCTTGTTTACGTGTTTAATTAAAGATCCAAAGGACATTACGGTCAGCAATATGGTTACACAAATGGGTGTCCGCAAATTACGGATTTTGATTGGTTAATCTGATAAAGACAATCATTATGCTCCATTTTTACCGTGTTGATTTTCCTTCGGGTTTAAATGGTTTCCATTTACCTAGTGTAATTGATCGGCTATAACCGGTTATAGTCGGCTATTAGTTGAAAGTCGACAATAGCTGACAATAACCAGCCGTAGCTTACCGACCCATCCCTAGATGTAATATGTATCATATGTAAATATGACGCAATTCTTGAATGTGTGCCAGGTTGGTGGCGCATTAATCAGTCCAAGTAATTTAAAATTCTAATAATACCAATAAAATTATAAGTATTAATAGAACGAAAACACAATTTATTAATGTTATTTTACTTGAATCAAATGTTCTTGCTATTTTCATTTCCATTCATTCTTTCATAACCTTTAGCTTCTAATATTATAATTTTGAATTCAGAAAAAATATTTATATTCTTTTACATTTATAATGTCTATAAGTTATAATTTTCAAAACTTTTACAGACCAGAATGATGATAACTCGTCAGAGTTCTAATAATACAGTATAAAAAAATATTAACCTTAAACGATTATAATAAATCTCAAATAAGCACAAATATGTTAGCTAATAAACACGCAATATATAGCTTATAAAAATTTTTTTTGAATGAAAAAGTTTATATTTATGCTGAAACATATCTTAAAAAAAGAATAATAGTAGTGTTCTTATTCTTAAATTTTATAAACTCTGTTGTTAGTAACTTACATATTTCCGAAATTACTGTAATGTACTCTTACACATTTTAAGTATGATCAACTATTTTTATAAGCCTTTTTATAATGAACGAACTAAAATTTTAAAATTTATTTATAATACTTCTGAATAGAAAAATCGACTGTATTCATGTTCCTTTTATATATCTTCAATTTACATAAAAAAAAACAATAGAAAACATTCAAAGTACAGGATGATTGAAGAAGCAATGGTGAAAATTTTCAATCAAAAATAAAATTTAGGAACGTACTACGTATACATACTGAAATAAAAGAGATCATTGTGGCTAATTAATGCACACATTCAAGAATTGCAAATATGACAGGATCAATCTTCTACATATGCATTTAGAAAACAATTAAAGTGTAATATAGCAATTACATGTTTATTTAGAACAGAGTTTAGGGTGCACATTTAATGTAAATCTATTATACTTTCTAGTTATCATAGTATATATCAATTTAATATATTAATTCTGCCTATATCATCCATTCTTGGTTTTGCGTGACAATTTCGCGCGGCATCTTATTGTATATCCAGCCCTTCTAGTTACCATTTATACTTTATCATCCGATTGTTTTCCGTTGTGCATAATCTTTACTGTGCCAAGCAAGCAAGATAACATCATGCCTGTTTTCAACCACATATACTCGCATACCATCCATAGAAAAGAAGTCATCTTGCCATCAATATCGCATCCAATTGAAAGAGATACCGATAATTCACACATTTTACGTTCGATCACATTTATGGCTTGAGGGGATATATCAATATCGCCAGTATAACTACCAGCAATATCTATGGTGACGAGTTTGGCCATTGCTATAGCATCATATCCTAGTGATAAAGCAGCAACCCTAAGGTTATCTGCAGCTTCCAATGCACTGATGCTATCTTTCTTAATAAAATTATTATCTTGCAATACATCTAGCAATGTACCTTTCAATTCCAAATACTCATGCTGATAGTTAGTTGCACCATTATAAATTGATGGAATAATTCGATGGCGTCCATTAGCTAGTTGCCAGAAGTGAGTAGATAGGAATGTCAACCCACATGCATCATATTTATATCTTTCGATAATGTATTGTAGCCCATTTGCCATGCGAACATATCCTTTTTTTACAGAATCCATGTCTACCTTACCGTCCACTATAGTTAAGAATGTATTGCTTGATTCCTTGACGCTTACATCATACCCGAAATCAACCATGTCATGTAACACAGCGGCGAATCCGATGACATCCATTTCATCAACAGTTAACATAGTATATGGCACTACCTTAAGGAAAGCAGCATCAACAACTCTGTAATGTAACATAGCTCTCAAATCCTTCCATACAGCCATTTTTTTATTTATCTGAGAGTAGTGTGTCTGCTTGCTTCTTCCACTCTGCATTTGGCTTTAATCATCTCAAAAGCCATGATATTCCCCAATGTACTTGTTGCCTGTAATGGTGTCATGTGTTTGAATAAGGGTGCTATCTTATTTCTAGCACCAGAAAACCATGCGTTAATATTCTTCTCTCTGCTTTCAACCGCATAGTCGTAAAAAAATAAATTATCAGCTGGTCCCATTAACCTACCCAACTCATTGCCATACACTATGTTATTGTAAACTATACTGTTAGCAACAGCCATCGGGCTTCTTGATATACCCTTTAGACTATCAGGTGGAAACATAACATTCCAAGCTTTTGAATTCATCATAGGTACACCATCTCCTTTGCCTATTAATGTTGTTTTGAGTTTGTATACTTGATCTGGTATAATGACATCTATCATCTCAAAAGGTTTATCCCTAATCTCGATACCGCATGTTTCCAGCACAAGTGAGATACCAACAGACATAGCCCATTTAGCGTGTTCTGCCATCTGAAGAGATATGCTGGATTGTGGTTGATAACCCTGTATGACCTGAGTAATTGAGGCATTTACTGCAGCATCATATATAGCTTTCTTAACATGATCCTCTTCCTGAGGCTTGGTGATTATTTGACTTCTCATATCTTCTAATCCTAATGTTTTTTGAGATATAATATAACAAATACCATCACTTCTAACGCATTTAGGCCACATACAGATATTCTCAATATCCCAATAGATATCTAATGTTATATCAAAATGATCATTGTTATTTAATGCTTCATTAACATTAATACCAATCATAAGACATTTTCTAGCCTCAGGAGGTTGATTCTTGACAGAGACAATATAATCCTGAATAAGTTCACACATTTTAGAGAACATGATTGAATCATATCTATGTACTGCTTTACCAAATAAGATTATGCGGATCAGCCTATTACGTTCTGTTTTGCTTCCTAAGTTAATTTCCATAGTGTCATGATACAATCCATTAGGATATTTACTTGGTTTAATATCTGGAACCTCATATATATCAACCTGTACAGACACAGCATTTTCATTGTGCCAGAATACTATAGATGTTACATCTTCCATTGGATGTGCTAATGTTTTTATATAAGGTACAGCATCTGTAAAATCAACTTAATCTCCGTTAGTGTTAATAATACATTGATTGTGTGACAAGTCACCCTGGAAATCACTGATAATATCAAGACCAGGTTGTTCAGTGAAGATTGCTTGCTGTCCTAACAACATATCATTATTTCCATCAATATTGGCGTCTGAGGAGATTCGTTTCAGTACTATATCTACTTTACCACCAACAAGGAGGGATTTATCGACCTTACAATAAGAACTATACTTCGGATTCTTCATTTGACAAAGCTTTTTCACTAGATGATTCTTTTGTTAGTCTTATAAGAAAGAGAAGTTCGCCCTAGTCTTAAAGTGTAGAGTATAGGGTTTTCAATTTTAATTTTTGTAAAAAGAAAACATCTGCGTTTAAATATAAAATTCACTCAATGTCGCAGACCACAACTTCATCAATGGATTTAATATTTGTATGATACAGAGCATTAAAAATAACATGCATAGAGATAATGCATAAACTAGTGCATATCGAAAGTAAATTTCTTAAATTATCGATTTTAATAGTGAAGGTTATAGTAATACACCAATACTTATTTATGCATATCAAATAAGCCATTGTTATGGCGAATATTTATTTCTGATGAATTAGTTTGCCTTTGTTCTATATAATGTAGAGTCGCGAATATCAGTAAACATATAGCATGACGTAGTAGTGACGTATTGACGTAACCACTCAAATATTAAATGACGTAAGTGTGATGTAAAGAGGTTACCTTTGACCTTTCAAGTGACATTATAGTTGGTGATAGAATTACGGCAATTACGACATTTTACCAATGGTAGAATTAATTACGGCATGGCATCTAATCACCGTAAATATTATATGCCATAATGCCGTAAAGTCGTAATGCCGCAATTCCATAATTTCGTAATGTCGCAATAACACAATATTATGATACCGTAATATTATAATGCTATAATTAAGTAACTACGTGACACAGTGTTATTTGCCATACCGTATAGACCCGAAATAACGCTCGGGGCGTTATTTCGAAATCTGGGCACCCTTAAAATAGCATATATGATCTCAAATTAACGCCCATGCGCGCCCCCGAATTAACGCGCACCCTGCCCGACCATAAAAATATTTATCTTTTAATAATCACTTTTTACCAAAAATCATCTCTTATTTCGAAATAACGCACATGGGCGTACTCGAAATAACGCGCAGGTCAATCAATTAACGCGCAGGTGGGCGTTATTTCGGGTCTATACGGTACAAGCATTTCATTTACATTAATTTAGTCGGTAAGCATAAAGTTATTTACATATTATTTAAAGTGTAAAAAATCTGTATGACAGAGGTGAAATAAAAATGTTTTATGATTACAAAAGGTTTGGCTCTTTATATTCTATGACATTTGTTATTAAGGGCACTGACATTTATTACGTAATATTTTAGGCAGTGTTGTCACTGGAAGACCACTGGAAGGCCACTGGAAGTTAATTCAATAGTGCCACTGGAACTTTAAGTTCCAGTGGCACTATTAATTTTCTTCCAGTGGCCTTCCAGTGGTTTTCCAGTGACAACACTGATTTTAGGGGTGGGGTTAAGCGTAGAGGTGGGTTTCATGCGTGCGCATGATTCCTCAATTGTGCGCATTAATGCGCATGATTCGGAATCATGCGTATTTTATCCCATCTAAATTTTATATAGGAAAATTAAAGTATGTTTAATATAGGCCAAGGTATATAATGCCAGGCAAAATTAAGAAATGGGAATGCAGGAGTTTTGAAAAATTTTGAAAAGAAAATGAACATAAAGATGAGAAGGTCGGGGAAAATACTTTGCAAATATCCGATATTTTCCGGAGGAAAAATATAAAATCAAAAAATTATATCATGCGATATCATGCGCATTTTATATAACGTGCGCATTAATGCGCATTCATGTGCATGTTATTATAAAATGCGCATTTTTCCCATCTCTAGTTAAGCGCGTACTATATCAAATCTTATGTTACACAAAGAAATTAGTATAGTCATAAATTGGCCAATCATATTGGATCTTATGTTGGGAGGGGAGAGCCCTCGTAGTAAATGGATGTTACGTAATAAATTTCAGCGCCCTAACTGTGCTACAACAAATACTTCAATTAAAAAATCGTGTTTATAAAGATTTGTTAGAATTAACAATTATTAAATATTTATACCACATTTATATGTTAATCTATATTATTGTAGTGATAGGTAATCGGTAGTGTTTCCAAAAATCACGCGTGTGATAGGGCTGTTGATCGGTCCGTCTTGGTCCAAAGACAGGCAGTCTTTTAAAAAGTTAGATCGGACTGCGGTCCAGGGCTGATTAGGACCAATCAGTATGGGACTGGACGGACTGATTATTAGACTAATTAAATGTCACATAAATTGCACCAACATGTTAATTATTATATATCATTACACGTTATTATATATTATATTCAAATTATTGGTTTATTGCTCGTTTTATTGCATAAAAGCCACCTCTAACCAATATTTAAACCTGTCTATTATTATTATAATTAGCGATGGAAATGCGCACGAATTTTGAACCCTGTACTGTAAGTATATAGTCAATCATTTTAGTTAAAAATATTAGATTTGTATATCTAATTCTTGTTAAGAAACCTGCTATTATAATTAAGAAAAATCCGATTTAAAATTTTAAATTTATTATCGTTGTCTAAGTCTGAAAATCAACTTTGTATACTGTATATTTGTATATTTATAATGGTGCTCATAATCCGAATCCAATAAATTACAAAAAATTAGGCTATATATGCTCGTTACAATAATTTAATACTAACTATATTAGGAACGATAGTCTTTTTGGTCCGTTCTATAAAGGACTGGACTGGCCCAGTCCTAAGACAGACCGCATGACTGGCGATTTTATTCGAACTGATTAGTAGTGTGACTTGGATGTGACTTAGTAGTACTAAAAGCCTGAATGACTTGAGCCCCAAGAATATTATGAGGCTTAATAACATAGACTAACTCCAGTGAGTGTTTGTTTATCTAACATACAATCGTATGAGGTGAGATAAACCCGTTATTGTTTGCCCCTCATTGTTGGCATGCCAGGAATTATAATAACTATGGCTTGTGGAGAGGCTTTTCTGAGACAGCGCTGTTCGCGGCCCGCACACAACGCTGCTTCACAGTGTTGATAGTACAAAGAGTCTTAGAAGGTTGGGATTAAAAGATAGCGTAGCTCTTAGTAAAAGGTATCTAAGGCCTGGGTTTCTGCCATAGTTAAATTTCTTTATACCATGTCTCAAATGATGATTTAGAGCCTTCGATGTCTTAGTTATAGAGGTTATAATAAGAATTGGATTCTCACAAGTATTAAGTTTATGTATTGTTTTATTAGTTTAGTTTTATTCTTTTATTATTGTATTATTCTTTATTATTATTACTAGGAAATAGAAACTATTTGAAGTCCGAAGGACTAAATATAAAAAAAATTCAACTGATTTTTTTATGCTACACCATATCTAGCCAATAAGCATCGACCACCTATTGTTTGATTGTTTCTCTTTCATGTTACACCTGATCTAGCCAATCAAAATTCAGAATTTGTTAACACACAGACATCGGGTGTACTATTGCTCTACCTATAGTGTCCTTCGGTTAATAAAATGCGCATTTTTCCCTTCTCTAATCACGAGTGTCCTGTACATTTTTGCCAATCATTTTTTTCATGTGAAAAATAAGGTACAACTTACATACACTCTTAATTTATTTTAAAATTACCAATTTATTTTAATATTTTAACGATAAAAAATTTGAACCTCATAGCTATGGGAGAAAATCTAATTATCCTCTAAAGCGTATCGTCACAAATCGTTATTAGAGGATTTCAATTTTCTTTTCTATTTTTCCTTTAGATCGCCCTTTTCCAATTTAGTAGAAAGAGCTTCCTTGCCATTTTTATTCAATTCATTTAGTGTTGGCCAAAATCGGAGGTAAGAACTTGCATGTACTTGCTGGTTAATGTATGATCGTCCCCTTCTTAATTTGTATAGCACGTTCAACGTGTAGCATGTATACGTATTATGAGAGCTAAAATTTTAATGAAATCGAATGTTTGGGACAATATGTCAACGTGTTTGGCGTAATTCATAGCATGCTAAATGTGCTGAATGACAAATCAATGTGTTAGGTAGCACGTCAAACGTGTAGTATATTAAATTTGGATGTAAATAAGTGCAAGTTTTTCTACGTAAGAGGAGAGAATCTCACCGATTGTCTCCTAATAAGGAAAGTTCCCCCGTTTCCCTAATAATAATAAAGAGAGATTCTCTTTGACTTTACTTAAGGAAAAATAAAGAAAGTAAACTAGTGTAGTGCTGAAGAGACCTTGATTCAAGTAAATTAAGTTCTTATCTCCTCGTAACAATTAGAGTTAAATCCATGTATTTATGAAATTTATAAACTTTTGAAACAAAGATAACAGGTGACAGTGTATTGTCTGCGTACTTTTTTCGTAAACTGCGCCTTTGTGTTTGATTCAAAAATTTAAATTACTGTACTGTCCTGGAATTGGGGAGACTGTCTTCGTGAACCTGTTACTTAAATATATCAAATGAATTTTTCCTATGATATGAAGCTGATATAATTTCTATTATAACAACATTACATATTCAATACCTCAATTTTGATGGTGTACATCATTTGTACCAGTAAAACCTTCTAGTTTTTGAAATTTAGATGTTGTGTTTATTCAGGACACGACTCGTAACTTAAACGTGACAAAATTATATGCCAATTTAGAAATTATGGTTGAGCTTATATTACGTATTAGAAACCGTCAGTAGCGATTGCCCTATGAAAAAAAATTTTCGGAAAAACATGGAAGCTGAACACAGAAACATACGTAAAAATATGTAAAAGATACGTAAAATGTACACTTTCCGTGTTTTTGGATAGGAAAACACACTGTATTTTCCGTGTTTTCTAAAACACGGAATGGCATTTTCTGTGTTTCAAAATACAGTGTGTTTTCCTGTTCAAAAACACAGAAAGTGTACATTTTACGTATTTTTTACATATTTTTACATATGTTTCTGTGGTCAGCTTCCATGTTTTTCCGAAAAATTTTTTTTATAGGGTTGAAATGGATGGTCAAGGTAAAAAAAATGAATGCCTTGTAATTTTTTATCTGATGATAATCATACTTAAAGCTTTAAACAACCATATTTGCATTTGTGCAGCTTAAATCTCTGATTTCATTGATTTTTCAA